GGGGGGACCTGAGACTATGTGGGGGGGGTGAGGGGGCAGGCACAAGCAGGAGGCAAAGTGCTTGGACCCCCCCCACTCTACCTGCGTCCCTACTGCCTGCCCCCCCTGCAGTGATGGGAAAGATGGAATAAAGATAACTGTCCAATAATTAGGTTCTAGCAAATACAAATATGAATATAAATACAAATATAAATTATAACACATTTATACATTTTCTATATATAGAATCTAATATGGATGGATCATCTTAAAATCAGGGTTCTTAGATTCAAGTAAACTTTGGTAAACTGGGGATCTGCAATATCATCCTTAATGAGATTGTACCTGCTTGGCTTCATGGAGCCTCTCCCATGTGGCCCTCAAGCCAGAGCTCTGAGCCTGCTGTGGACTCAGCTCCAGCTGCGCTGGTGTTTGCTTGTCTCCTCCCCAGTGAAAACCCTGACACTCACTTGCCATGTCTTAGGTGTTAAGTTCAGTACTGGGGTTCCCCTTGGTTGTGGAAGGACATGCTGGGAGTTGTAACTGGTGGATGCTCCAGGGGCTCCATCTCCCCTACACTCCTGCCATGTACCAGCCTGTTGGGATGGTCAGATGTTGGTCAGTCTGACCCTTTGTTGTGTGCCATAGTCCCCCTGCATCCCTAATCTCACACTCTTGACCTTGGAAGTCAGGCACTGTGATGATTTGGTTGGCTGCCTCTTTCCTATTGGCTGTGGTCTGCAGCTCATCAGCCATGGTCCTGGCGGCAGTTCAACACCCCCGCCCCGATGGCGCTTCGTGGGTACTGGGTCGACCCTAATGGTGGATTGGCTCTGTGATGTCGAGAGTCTCTGAGGAGCCCTGGGGTGCTCAGCCCCCAACGTTAATCCTCTGGCCTTTTCTCTCAGCCTACAGGGCCTCAATATGAAGACAAAAGAAAGTTGAACAACTTAAACTTCAGGAAGGGCCTGGGGCCTCCTCCCTATTCATGTGTCCTGCATCTGAAGGTGCCAATCATCCATTGGTGTGATCGCAGGTCTCAGCTCACTCCCTGGCCCAGTGCTGAGTGCTCCTTCATCGGGGAATGGACCCCTGGCCTTTCCCCTCGGGAACAGGAGGGTTCCTGGCCAACCCAAGGGCCTGCCTGAGCGAGGGAATCACAGCCTCCTCTCTGCTACGTTCTCCCTGCCATTTCCCCACTACTGGCTTTTATCATGCCTGGGCGGCGTCTTCTGATGTTGTCATCCTCCCGCGCCGGGGTTGTAGCCCCTAAATTAGGACCCACTAGTCTAGTGTTTAGGATGTCAGGTTAGGTCAGAGCTGACCCAGGTATGACCTCAGCCAAATTTTATATTAGGTATTTACTGGAGAAGGAACTAGAACTCAGGTCTTCACTTTCAACTTCCAGGTGAAAGTTGCAATCATTATACTAGAGTTCTGGTCACCTAAATTCATATCTTACATGTTTGGGCTGGGTTCTTTAATCTCTGAATACTTGAATAAAAAGGAATTCTTCCAGCTGTGTTTTGATGTAGAAACAGGGTTTATTTAGGTACACCGGTCCCAAAAAAAGGATTAGGGAAATGGAAGAAGGACAAAAACAACAAGTCATTAATGTGAGGACACTTTAAACAGAATAACCACCTCACCTCTGACCTAACAGTTAGTATCCAAAGGAAAATTTAAGCAAAACCTTTCAGAAGATGGGAGAAAAATAGCATAACTTTACCAGACACACCAAACCTCAGTTAACACAGGTGATGGTTTTATGACTGATCACACTTAACCTGTCCCTCTAACCTCTCTGTGCTCCACAAGTAATAGCTGGTCTCACCTTTTGAGTGGTCATATTATTTTACAGAATTAAGTTTATCTTTCTCGAACATTCTTTACCCGATGTGCAACTATTGTAATTTCTCTCCATTTCACAGGTTTCCTGTGCAAGTCACTCCTTTCATTTACATAAGGTTAAACAAAAGTATTTAGCTTAGGCTGTATCTGCTTCTTTCCCAGGTGTCAGAAAAAGAATGTCATGCTTGAAAATTTGTCTGACATCTCTCCCCAAAATAGCTGTTGCCATTGTTCTAAACAATTCTATCCTTTAAAGAGAAGATGATAGAAAAATATTTGGGGTGGATCCCAGGTGGATGCAGTGGTGTAGTCGCACCCACTTTTGATTCCTGCTGTACCCAAACCAACTGCCTTGCCGCCGAGGTCTTGTTTCTATTAAGGCAGCAGCAAAAGAATTCCTTTTTATTCAAGTCCCTTGACTTCATGGCTCATTATAATCTACCTAAGTCCTTCTGATCTCTTCATTCCACAACTGTTAATAACTCTCTCTTTTCTTAAATGGTATTAATGTTTCACTAATCAAGCTGTCCTTTCTTCAGCCATTCTGCTGCCTTAGCTGCTCCTGGTTACATAGCTCCTATTTGACAGTCCTGCTGATCAGTTTTTAACTCTAGCTAAAAACATTAACTCAGGTGTGGAAATAACTCTTACTAAAACAATGGATGCGCTGCCAGGATGCTCAGGAAGGCTAGATTTTGCTGTATGAATCTGCAAGGTGATTTAATTCTAATGACAGAACTAATGAAGCAACATCTTTTGAGTGTCTTTTGCCTAGTTTGTTGTGGTTTTAATCTCTATTATTATGTAGCAAATGAATGCATATCCCAATAAAATTATACTTGTTTTTGCATTAACTGAATAGTATAGCCCCAGGCTCTATTGTTAGTAAAGGTACTTTCTTTTTAACCAGAGAAAAGTGTGTTTTGTTATATGTGACCATGCATCGCACCACCTCCCCCCGCCCCCCCTTTCAAATCCTGGATCCCCCCAAGCGTACTCCTGAGAGCAGAGGTGCAAAGGCAAAGCAAGTGCCATTTATTGGAGTTGGCCCAGTCAGCATTTTCCTGGGAAGGAGCAGGAGCCCCCTCAGCATGAAGGTGGTTAGGGGACATTTTCTGCAGGGGGCAGCTGGCCCTGCGCAGAGCGGGATATCTCTGGACCCAAAGCCCCATGTAACAGCAGGATGACGGCCTGCCCAGGTCCCACCGCTCCCTGCCCGCCTGTGCTGACATCTGCAGGTCCCTCCCCCCGGGCGGGTTCTCAGCAGGCAGCGGGCGGGGTCCGGCTCCTTGGCCGGGCGCTGCCATTGGGCAGCTGGGCTCCCGGGCCGAACTTTCCAGCCAATGGACGCCGGGCGTAGGTGGAGCTGCGGCTCCGATTGGCCAGCCGGGAGCGGTGCATTCCATGACAGTGGGAGCAGCCCCGGCCTAGAGCCATTCGCCTAATTTGGAGCTTGGAGTGGTTCGCTGCCACCGCCGCCGCCGTTCCCGGGCGTGGGGGCCGCTGCGCATGCGTGGGGCGGGGCCTGGCGTCCACCGCACCCGGGCAGCGCTGCGAGACGTGACCCCTCAGCCCAGTGAGTGCAGCGAGGGGCGGCTGGGCTGGGGTGGGGTGGGGTGGGGTGTCCCGTCCCGTCCCGTCCCGTCCCGTGACGCGCATGTGTTTCGCCCGCAGGCCATGTCCAAGTCACTGAAGAAGCTGGTGGAGGAGAGCCGGGACAAGGGCCAGCCCGAGCTCGACCTCTGCGACCGCGGCGTCTCCAGCATGCTGGACGTCCCCGCCCTGTGTAGGTACCGCCGCGCTCGGCTGGGCCCTCGGGGCGGCCCGGGCCTGTCCTCCTCCCCCTGGGCGGGTTCCGAGTGGGAAGCCCAAGTTTTGTGCCCTTTAAAAAAGAGCCCGCAGAGGTGCGGCCCCTACAGCCATTGGGCCAGCTCCTTCCTGGTCTTCGGGGCCCATCCGACACCCAGATTACTCCATCTCCGAGCCTTGGCACTCAAGCTCAGGGATGATGTAAAAGCCTGTGCATGTCCTGTGCCGACTGCTCCCTTCTCTTGGTTTATTAAATCGTATTTTTATGTGACTGACATAGCAGTCCTGAACTGGAGAAAATACCCTATGGCTTTTGGTAAAGTGAAGGAAGTGCTGGGAACCGCTTGACATCAGGATTTTGAGTCACTCAGTGCATGGTCCATCTTGTATTTGTGGTCTCTGAAACATGGTTAAAACTACATTGTTAAAGCTTCAGCTCTGATTCGAGCTGCCTTGTACAACAATTTGTTTTAACTCAAAGCATGGGAGCAGTATCACTGCCTTCAGTTTGGAAACGTTTCAGTGGATCCATTGATTTCAGTGGGAGCAACTTTTATGGGCTTGTCCTGAGTTTGACAAATACTGAACCAGGGTTTAAATATACAGTATGTAGTTCTGTTTCTGTAAAGGCTTCCAACCATCTTTTTTGGTCATGGAAGGCTTCATGTTGGGTTCTGAGTTAGGGCCTGATTCTGTATTTCATAACCTAGTGAATTGCTAGAGTGAACTGCACTGTCTGTTGGGTTTCTTATAAAAAGGGAATTGCTCATTGTTTTCTCATTGCTATGTTTAGTAATACGTATTGAATGAACACATTGTAATGTGTATGTGTTGAATTAACTTTACAGTTCATTGCTTTTGAGTTAAAAGGTGTTTCTGAGCTTTCTGCTGTGAACCTTGGTGCTAAAGAAAAATAACTTGGGCCATGAGCAATGTAAGCCCAATGCCATTAGCAGCAGCAATGTTGAGTTTCTGCAAAAAAGGTCTGTACGTGTAGGGGTCTCCCTGTCTGTCCTTTGCACTAACACTGGTCGGTACTAGAAGAGTTCAGATGATCTAAAAGTCAGAACTGAATTGTTTGTAGTAGAACAGGATGACCAATTAGAGACTAATAATACAAGCATGAGTTTTCATAGGCAGCAGTTTGCTTGGTGAAGTTGTTCTACCTTCTCCCTGTTGCAAGACTAACCCAGCTAACCGCATCTGCATTTTTGTGAGTTGTTTCTCAGCTCATCTGTGAGGTGCCATAGATTGTCAAGAATTGAGCTTCATATTAAATTTTAAAATGCTATATGGAACTGTCTGTAACAGAAGAGCCCTTTGAGTTGATCATACTTATTCAGGATTGAACTCATTCTGGCATTTTTAACAATGATACTCCATAATGCTGTAGGTCAGTTAAGTAATGGGCCTTTGTTTATGAAGACCAGATGCTATCTAACAGCATACTAATTGTACCTGATAAGCCTGCCTGTGAATAAGGGAAGTGTATTCTATTTTCCGGAGCTCAGGGTTTCATTATTATCCACAGCTTGGGGTTTCAGGGTTCCAGAGCACAGGGAAGTGGAACTGATTTCTTTCTTCTAGAGGTCCCACACTGACTAACTGATTTCTTTTTCTCTGATGTGCCATTTTTCTAACTTGACACCTTGAAATGAATGAGCACTTAAGGTGCTGCAGTTGTCAAAAGGTATTGGCAGTGTTCATCTAAGGCAGGGACGAGCAGTTATTTCAGGCGGAAGGGCCACTTACCAGTTTTGGCAAGCTGTTGAGGGCCGCATGGGTAGCCCTGCCCCTTGACAGGTACCCCGCCCCCTGGTCACCATCTTGGAACCAGTGTCCCAATGTCTTGGGGCCCAATGTCTTAGGGCCAGTGCCGGCAGGCCCCAGAGCAGGGTGCAGGCTGGCAGGGGTCTGTGGAGCCAGGCTGGGCTGCACCAGCAGGGAGAACCCTTGCAGACCTGCTCTGGGGCCTGCCGGTATTGGCCCTGGGATACCGTTGTGGGCCCTGTACACCTTCTCACTCCCAGTGCCCCCCAGCCTTGTGGTACAGGCAGGGGGCAGCGCACAGTCCCCACCCCCTGCTCGCCAGCAGGGAAGGAGCTGGTGCTGAGCATGGGGAGAAGCGGCCCCTTCCTGTGGCTGGCGCTCCTCGCTGCCTGTGTAGGGCTGTCGTGAGGAGGCACAGGCAGCCCCATGCAGGCTGCAAGCTGCTGCAGCACAGGGCAGGTGAGGAGCCACTTTTCCTCCGTGCTCAGCACCAGCTTGGGCCCTGCGCCGGCTCTGGGCTCGCCCATCAGGGTTGCACACAGTGGCAGCAGCTGCAGCCCCCCCCCCCACTTGCCACGCTGGCCAATGTTTGCCACCACTGACTCTGGGCTTCCCAGCACGTGAACTCCGGGTTAGCAGCAGCAGTAAACGCTGCCCAGCGCAGCAAGCAGGGGGATTGCAGCTGCTTCGGACACGCGCAGCCCTGACGGGTGAACCTGGAGCCAGCGTGGGGCCCAGGCTGGCAGTGGGGGTGGATTACAAGCTGGAGCTGAGTGTGGGGGGAAAAGCAGCCCTTCGCCTGCCCCGTGGCTGGTGCCCCACACTGCAACCACACACAGCCTGCTTGGGGCTGCCTGTGCCTGCAGCAGGGAGCGATGACCACGGGGCGGGGTAGGGGCTGTTTTGCCCAGGCTCCTTCCCTGCCCAGGGTCCTCCCCTGCTTCCCCCCCCCCCCCCCC